CAGCCTACTCCGCGTTTAGAGGATGCACAGACTCTGGAGGAGATTGCAGAGGATCGTATCAAGGAGGGTACGCTGCTTCGCGAGGTGTGGGACGCCATCTACGAGGATCTCTTCCTGCTCTCGAAGAGGACGGGAGAGACAAAAGAGGTGCCGGGCACCGCGCATCACGCCACGATGCACGGATGCAAAACAGATGTGGACAATCCTCAAAAGGATCGGCACATCACAAAGAGGTGCATAGCGGACTGGAATCGGGCAAGAGGAAGTATCGTTGAGCTCTGCAAGAGCACGCAGAACTCCAAGGATGGGAACCTCGTTGTCATCTCGCCCGTCGCGGCGAGCTGTGCCTACTTTGCCTTCTACCTCGACTCGGGCCTGCCATACGTACCGCTGATCACGTCCGGTCTACACCTGGCAGACACTTCGCATGCCACGTCTCTCGAAGTGGCTGTCCGCTTCATTGACCCGGAACCCAAGGCCGATGAGTGGCACTACAAAGAAATCACTTCGATAGCACAGCGGAATGAGAGGACCACATCTCAAGCTCACTCCTGGGACCAGAATGGGAATTTGACAGTGTACGCTACCCAGGTTGGACTGATCAGACCCACGCCAAAGCTGTAAGCGAGGGGTTGCTGTTTCGATCAAATGAGAGGGCTAGACGGCTTGAGACTTTTGGCCAGGGTGTTGGACTGCTCGTGGTCCCCCTGTTCTCAGCCTGGGCAGAAGACCCTGCGCATGGCAAAGCAGGTGGGGATCGGCGGGATTCAGCGTCACCACGTACACACATTTCTTCATCTCGAGATCACTCTCGGGCGGTAGACAAGGCTCGGAAAAGGCTTATAGACGCCCATTTGGACAGGCATCCGCTGTAGATAATTGTACATGAAGCGTAGCCGTGCCACCTTCAATGCATCAGTCACCTCCTCCTGGGCGCGATAGACGCGGCCTCGGGAGACCATTCCTCATCTGGACCAACAGCTCTGCCGAATCGAGGTTTGAGCTGAGGACTTTCTTCCCGCCTCTGTGACGCAGCGTTCCTCCTGGCTTCCCTCTCCGCCTTCTCCCTCGCTTCCGCCTGAGCTCGTGCGTACACCTGCTGCATCTCTTTCGAGTATCCTGCCCCGCCTCCCTCAGCTGCTCCTTCCACGGTCACATCGAAAGCGCTCAATGGACTTGCTGCCATCAATCTCCGCGCTCGTTCTCTCTCCAGCTCCTTGGCGGTCGCGGCGCTAGCAGCCTGAGCCATTTGCGCCCTCCTATCCGCTCTCCTCTGAATCGCACCAGAAAACTCCGACTGCGCATCCCCTTCGGTCACTTGTCGGCTCGGTTCAGACTCTCCCGCTTTCCCATCTGTGTCGGTCTCCGCATGCCTGGGCTGATGTCCCGCAGCGGTATTCTTGACAGGTACTCGAGCATCCGAAACTCCAGCCTCTCGTAACCTTGCCCTGCTCGCTTCCCAGACGCGATCATCCGGTGTGGGTTGACGCCCTTCGAAACTGTCTTGTCCCAGCTCGGACGTAGGGACAGCAGCAGCCCTGCCATCTCTGGGAGTTTGATCTTGAGGAGCTGAACGAGTCGCATGAATGCTGTGTTGGACGGCGCCGCCTGAAGCATGAGCAGAAGAGGTGGCGCTCGTCGTACCTGACGCGTCGGTCTGAGCAGCTCCGCTACGCTGCTCCATGAGCTCCGCGT